AGAGATCGCACCATTTCTCCTGGTACCTCCCCCACAACTAGTCAAAGTTCTGAATAACTATACGATCACAAAATCCGAAATACCCCTCCGGTTTTCTTCTTATTTCACACATCCCACTATCGTGGATTTTACCAAATTTTGTTTAGAAACTATTAGATAAATATTTGATAAAATCAAAATTAAGGACTATTACAGCAAAATATATAATCCTTAATTTTTTAAGAATTTTTTTTTTTCAAAGGACTTTCAAGTATTAAATTTCATTTCTAAGCCACTCGTCCGACAACTGTTTAAATTATTCCAGTGACAGCGTATTATATTGACAAAAACATTTTGGTGAGAATTTCCCAGAAGAAAAGTTATTCGTGATGGAATTCAAGCGTGATAGTGTGATTTCTTTATATTTGGCTGGAAAACCGCAGGTGGCTATCGTTAGAGCACTCCAGCATTTAAATGTGAATAAATCTTTGTGTCTCGTACCATCGCTCGTTACCGTGATGCTGGTAGCGTAGCCCGATGTCAAGGAAGTGGACGGAAGAAAACAGCAACATCAGCAGAAATGCTTCGAAAAATAAAGAAGCGACTTGATCGAAATCCGTGTCGCAGTGGCCGAAAATGGCTCGTGAGCTGAACATATCGCAATATTCCATTCGGCAAATATTGAAAATTGAGCTCAGTGTAAAGCCATCGAAATTCCAAAAAGTGCAAGAACTTACACCGCAACAGAAAGAAAATAGACTCAAAAGAGCTAAATAGTTGCTTCACTCGGCCGAAATTGGTGAACTGCCGAATTTGGTTTTCTCCGGTGAGAAAACATTCGTTTGTAAACAAACAAAACGATCGTGTTTACTTGCCAAAGAGTTCAGCTTAAAATGTGCACCTTCGCTTGGCCACCAGAACTCAAGCGCCGGCCATGGTGATGGTGTCTACGCTCGTATTAATCGACCGTGGCATCAGAATAAATGCCGAATATTATCGAGAAAATATTCTGGAGGGTATATTAAAGCCTTGGGCACGCAAAAATTTTGGCCGCCGACCTTGAGCATTTTCAACAGGGCTTAGCACCATCGCACTCAGCACGCGCCACCTAAGAATGGTAACAAAATGAGGTTCCTTGCTTCATTTCCAGCACTCAATAGCCACCAGAATCTCCGCATACCAATCCGTTGGACTATTGTGTCTGGAGTATTTTGGAAAGCAAGGTTGGCACTAAAAAATACCAAAGTGTCTCGATCACCTCAAGCAAGCGCTTCGCCGGGAATGGGCCAAGATACCGCAGAGCAACATTCAGGCAGCGTGTAATGGTTTCATTGCCCGTTTGAAGGCCATAATTCGGGCCAAAGGTGACCAATTCGAACAAATCTCAACTTATTCTAAAATTTGATGCTATTTCCGACATTTTTTGCTTTCATTCAATAAATTTAAAAAAAATAAATACATTGGGTTAAGAACTATCAAATTGAAAATCAATCGTGGAAAAGGAAATTTTTCTAGGATTATCAGGTGAAGCACTATTGAGCTGAGAATCGAAGAGGAATTTTTATGGATTTTTTATTCAGTTTTTTTTAATTGAAAATTTTATAAAATTTTGGATTTGAAGAAAATTTTGTACAAGAACTATCTTAGCAATATTTTTAAGGAATATTAGCGCAATAACCATAAACTATATACGACAATGTTTGAAGACTTTTTATCAAGGACTATCAGTGCAATGTTCGCAGATTTTTAATGGAAAATTGTTCAAGGGAAATAGGAAGAACTACTCTGCCTTTTTGAGGGCGGGACTAATAAAGATTTTTTAAAGAAAGCAAAAAAAAACTTGTTTTTATGCATATTTTTTCAAGGAAAACTTTTTTAGGAACTATCATGTAATTTCTTTGTCAAGAATCATCAATTTTGTAATTTTTGAGAACATTTTTGCATTAATCGTGTATATTGTAGAAACCGCTTTCAAAGTCCATCAACTCAAAAATTATGTAGCTACAAAAAATATATAATTTCAAGGACTATCAGGGTTATAATCGAGCACCATTAGATCAATAAATTCAAATTTTAAGGATACTTTTTCAAAGGTTTAGAGACTATCAAAGCAATATACAGGGATTTTAAAGGAAATCATTTTAAAGGTAATAGTAGATTTCCGGAACATTCTTTAAGGACGTCTTTTCAAGGACATTCACAACAATAATCGAGCATTTTGTAAGTCAATTCTTTGCTGTTGATTTTTAAGACATTCTTTAAAGGACTCTCAAAACAATAATTGCGGATTTCTTATGACATTCTCTCAAGAATATCCGAGCAATAGTCATTGTTTTGAAGTATTTTTTAAGGACTATTATTAAATATGTTTACCGGGGCAATTGTGGACTATTTAAGGGATGTTTTACAGGGACCATTATGTCATTGCTTATTGATTGTCTTTAAGAATATTCGTTGAAATTTAAGGAAATATTTCAATGGTCCTTGAAATATTTCCTTAAATTTTATTTATTTATGAAGACATCTGTTAAAAGATAATCGTGACTTTTTTTTTATTTTTAGGATTTCCTAAGGAACAGTTTTCGAATACTATCATTGATATTTTCCATTTTTTTTTTAATCATCGCAGATGTTTTGTAGTATTTTTTAGAAAAGTTTTGCGTACAATAGTGTTCTTTTTTTTGGGTATTTGTTATAGTTTTACTGGTAGCCAATAATCAGCTGCTTGCAAAAATCCCGAATTTAATTCATTGTTTTTCATGAATTTCCTGTGAAAATAATAATCATTTATTAATAAATTGAACTTGCAAAAGACTATCACAGTGATAGTTTCACATGGCCATTATCAAGTTTTTTATTGAAATGCATTTTTTGGTAATTTCAACTTTGCATATTAAAGGTATAAATTATAATCTACAAAGTAGTGGGCATAAACAAAAAAACAACTCAGCAACAAATAGATAATTGTGATAAAAAATGTCATTTGAGCAATTTGCGGCTACACAGATTTCTTTAGACCGTACGCCATGGTGCGATAAAAAAACTGTGATGATGTCTTCATATTCTGGGAATGCTTCTCAACAAATACTTCTAATGATCCCCTACGAAGATCCTTCGAAAATAATAAAATCCCGATTATATTTACCCTGATTCCTCTGTATGCAATCCTAGTAAGTCTCCGTTCAAAATGAGGCAAGAGGGTGTTAGAAGGCTTAGCCAGTAGGTTGAAGTGATGAAACGAGTCTGTGGTCTCAACCTCTTAAATTCTATATTTACAGTAAGAATTCGAAAGCTTTATATTTAGACCTGTCTAACGATGCTAAACAGGAATGCACACGTCAATAGAATATAACTAGAATACCGTAATTTGACCTGAGGATCACTCCTAGTGTCTGGGGATAAAAAAGGCAAACAATACCGAATTTCATTTCAAACAAGTAAAAAAGTTGTAAGTTAGGCCGGGCGTACTTTGAATATCCTCCACCATTTGGTACAAATTTGGCAATTTTCAAAAAAATAAAATCCATTAAAAGTTCTGTTAAAATCTTAAAAATACCGAATGTAGCTGTTACATGGACCTGCATAGGTAATTTTGTCATGAGCCATTACAATATTCAAATGCGAAATTTAAAAACAGGTGAATAATGCAGGTAAAATCATCAAAATACCGAATATCGGGTGGTACCGTTATATGGGGGCTATACGAAGACGCGGACCTGCATAGACAATTTTCTGTCATAGGCTGTGGTATTCATTTTAAACTTCAAATACTAAATTTGAAAGAATTCCGGTGAATAATGTCGCTAAAATCAACAAAGAATCGAATATCCGGAGGTACCGTTATATGGGGCTATACGAAGACGTGGACCTGCATAGACAATTTTCTGTCATAGGTGGTAGTATCCATTACGAACTTCAAATACAAAATTTGAAACAATTCCGGTGACTAATGTCGCTAAAATCATTAAAATACCGAATATCGGGAGGTACCGTTATATGGGGGCTATACCAAAAACGTGGACCTGGATGGCCCATTTTCAATACCAAAAGTCCTGCAGACATAATATACATTTGAGAAAAGTTTTATCAATCTACTTCAATTCGTTCGGAAGCTAAAGTGATTTCCACAGACGGACATACGGACGGACCATCTCTAAATCGACATAGAATTTTATGCTGATCAAGAAAATATGTACTTTGTGGGGTCTAAAATGCATATTTCGAGGTGATACAAACCGAATGACAAACTTAATATACCCTCCATACTATAATGAAGAGTATAAAAAACTTTGCTATACACGTACGCACACATCCATGAGAAGGACTTGCAGGCAGTCAATACCGAATTTAGACCAGAAAGCAATTCATCATTGACATATAATCGCGATTGTAGATTTGCTACCTGCCTAATAATCGTTGAAACTCCACCAATCACTCCAAGCGGTTTCAAATCTCATGACATACTGAGTATATTCTCCACCCAAAGATCGTAAGCACAAAAATTAAAAATAAAAATTTTCCCAAACAAATGTGAAATTAAGAAAAAAATATTAAACAAGCGTTATGCAATAATTACAATTTACTTATATTTATTAAAAAACACATAACTGAGATTCCATTGATGCAACACCCACTTCCCCTCGAACCCCACCGTCAGCAATATTCACACTTTATCGTCAATGGCAATAACATCACAGAACAATTACGGCTACACCTCCGCACGGCATGCATTTCATTTTCATTTCATAAACAACAATTATTGCAACGACAACTACAAAAAAAGGGAAACAAATATGTATGGAGAGGAAAACATTTTCACTTTATTTACACCACACGCACACACACACAGCCATACACAATGCCAGACACATAGAAGAAAAAGTATTGGATTTTGTTGCACTTTGGCATGTGTTCAGAAGAGTTAGGACCTGGTTGTATTCCCCCTTTATGTCACATTTTGTTTGCGTTTTTACCTCACTAACCCATCGCTCTCACACTCCCTCTCTTTTTTACATTTACAGGATATTTGCGACCCAATCTCGAATACACGGTCTGGTATCGTCTAACGGCTGCCCAGGAATGGCGTACAATGCGTATCGTCCAGAAGCATGTCATGGAGGCCACCATTCCGCATTTGTTGCCCGGTCGCGAATATGAATTTATGGTATTGAGCCAGGATAAATATGGCGACGGCATGTTCAGCAAACCCTTTCGATACCCAACACAACGTAAGTTTATAGCAAAGATGATAACATCTATGTGACCTATCTCTGATGGGGATTGAGATACTCAAAAGGAAAACGAACTTCTACATAGAGAAGACCATTGGTCTTCTTCGTATAGCAGACCTTTGGTCTTCTTCATAGAGAGGAACATTGGTCTTCTTCTATAGAAGATCATTGGTATACTTCCTATAGAAGACCATTGGTATTCTTCTGGTCTTCTCTATACTGAAGACCACGCGTCTTCTCTATACGGAAGACCACTGGTCTTCTGTATACGGAAGACAACAGGTCTACTCTATACGGAAGACCACTGGTCTACTCTATACGGAAGACCACTGGTCTACTCTATACGGAAGACCGCTGGTCTTCTCTATCGGGAAGACCGCTGGTCTTCTATAGGGAGACCGCTGGTCCTCTCTATCGGGGAGACCGCTGGTCTAATCTATCGGGAAGACCGCTGGTCTTCTCTATAGGGAAGACCGCTGGTCTTCTCTATCGGGAAGACCACTGGTCTTCTCTATCTGGAAGATCACTGGTCTTCTCTATCGGGAAGACTACTGGTCTTCTCTATCGGGAAGACCACTGGTCTTCTCTATACGGAAGACCGCTGGTCTTCTCTATCGGGAAGACCGCTGGTCTTCTCTATCGGGAAGACCACTGGTCATCTCTATCGGGAAGACCACTGGTCTTCTCTATTCGGAAAACCGCTGGTCTTCTCTATTCGGAAGACCGCTGGTCTTCTCTATACTGAAGACCACTGGTCTTCTCTATACTGAAGACCACTGGTCTTCTCTATACGGAAGACCACTGGTCTTCTCTATACGGAAGACCACTGGACTTCTCTATACGGAAGACCACTGGTCTTCACTATACGGAAGACCACTGGTCTTCACTATACGGAAGACCACTGGTCTTTACTATACGGAAGACCACTGGTCTTCACTATACGGAAGACCACTGGTCTTCCCTATACAGAAGACCACTTCCCTATACAGAAGACCACTTCTCTATACGGAAGACCACTAGTCTTCTCTGCACTGAAGACCACTGGTCTTCTCTGCACTGAAGACCAATGATCTTCCGCTGGTCTAATCTATCGGGAAGACCGCTGGTCTTCTCTATAGGGAAAACCGCTGTTCTTCTCTATCGGGAAGACCACTGGTCTTCCCTATCTGGAAGATCACTGGTCTTCTCTATCGGGAAGACTACTGGTCTTCTCTATACGGAAGACCGCTGGTCTTCTCTATCGGGAAGACCGCTGGTCTTCTCTATCGGGAAGACCGCTGGTCTTCTCTATCGGGAAGACCACTGGTCTTCTCTATACGGAAGACCGCTGGTCTTCTCTATCGGGAAGACCGCTGGTCTTCTCTATCGGGAAGACCGCTGGTCTTCTCTATCGGGAAGACCACTGGTCTTCTATATCGGGAAGACCACTGGTCTTCTCTATCGGGAAGACCACTGGTCTTCTCTATTCGGAAAACCGCTGGTCTTCTCTATTCGGAAGACCGCTGGTCTTCTCTATACTGAAGACCACTGGTCTTCTCTATACTGAAGACCACTGGTCTTCTCTATACTGAAGACCACTGGTCTTCTCTATACGGAAGACCACTGGTCTTCTCTATACGGAAGACCACTGGTCTTCTCTATACGGAAGACCACTGGTCTTCTCTATACGGAAGACCACTGGTCTTCACTATACGGAAGACCACTGGTCTTCACTATACGGAAGACCACTGGTCTTCACTATACGGAAGACCACTGGTCTTCACTATACGGAAGACCACTGGTCTTCACTATACGGAAGACCACTGGTCTTTACTATACGGAAGACCACTGGTCTTCACTATACGGAAGACCACTGGTCTTCACTATACGGAAGACCACTGGTCTTCACTATACGGAAGACCACTGATCTTCTCTATACGGAAGACCACTGATCTTCTCTATAGGGAAGACCACTGGTCTTCTCTATACGGAAGACCACTGGTCTTCTCTATACGGAAGACCACTGGTCTTCTCTATGCGGAAGACCACTGGTCTTCTCTATGCGGAAGACCACTGGTCTTCTCTATGCGGAAGACCACTGGTCTTCTCTATGCGGAAGACCACTGGTCTTCTCTATGCGGAAGACCACTGGTCTTCTCTATGCGGAAGACCACTGGTCTTCTCTATGCGGAAGACCACTGGTCTTCTCTATGCGGAAGACCACTGGTCTTCTCTATGCGGAATACCAGTGGTCTTCCCACTTCCCTATACCACTTCCCTATACAGAAGATCACTTCTCTATACGGAAGACCACTGGTCTTCTCTGGACTGAAGACCACTGGTCTTCTCTGCACTGAAGACCACTGGTCTTCTCTATACGGAAGACCGCTGGCCTTCTCTATACGGAATACCAGTGGTCTTCCCTATACAGAAGACATTTGGTCTTCTCTATACAGAAGACATTTGGCCTTCCCTATACAGGAGACGATTTGTCTTTTTCATATGGAAGTCCATATGATTTCTCTATAAAAAATGCCATTGGTCTTCTTCCGTAAACCGAAGTTCTTTTGCCTATCTGCTTGGCCACTGAGTATATCCCTGAGCGCCGGATCAATAAATAACCTGGTCGTCCATTCTCCCAGCTCCCAGTTCGAGAATTAAAATTAAGATATTTAATCCGCCGCTGGCAGCAGATATTAATTAAATATTGCGGAACTCGAGCTGGCCAGAGGCACTCAGAAGTAGCTTTGTTGGGTTTAAGTGTTCCACGCTCTTTGTGTGTGGCTGTGTGAATGCTTCCGTTCTTTTTTTTTTGCCAGGACAATGTCTATTATCCTTTTGTTTAATTTATTTCGTTTATATCCTGTCCATTGGTTCATTTGTGCGTTTGTTTGTTTGTCTGTTTCTATCCTTTGCAGCCTCATCGAAAGTTGCCGAATCGGACGATGACAATGTCGAAGGCGACTTGTCGTCTGTGCAACAATCCCAGCAACGTGTTAACTACCAATCACCAAGTGGTGGTGGCGGTGGCGGTGTTGGCAGCAGCGCCGGCAGCAGTAGCTTCCTAAGTGCTCCATGGAATTTAAGTGCCATTAATAACCAACAAGGATGGCTCTTACACTGGGAACATCCACTTCATGGGATCGATGCGTTACGCCTGTACACGGTACGCTGGTGGAAGGAGCCCGAACATCATCTGGTCGGCACGGTCGAAACTTTTGACAACTTCTATCAGCTGCGTCATTTGAAGGAGGACTCCACATTCACCATCCAAGTGTTGGCCATTTCGAACGATGGCGCCCAAGTGCCCGGCTCGGAGTTGATCATTGAAGTGCCATCGCATCGTAAAATGCGAGCCCTCCTAATTGGCAGCACCATTGGCATTGCGTTCCTGGTGTGTGCCCTGATCGCCTTCCTCTATGTGAAGCGCAATTGCCTGCGTCATTTGTTCAGCGGCAATGTGGTCGACGATGGCGATGATGGCGGCAGCACCATTGAGGATGGCGGTGACAGCGATTGCAATGGCCATGACATAGAGAAGATACATAATACCTGAGTGTACGAGATAACGTGGCGGTTTCGAAATTAATACATACCCGAACAGAAAATCAATTAATTGTGAAAACGACGGCTCATGTTTTTTGTTTTCGAATATTCCCAGTCCATTTCAGCAGCAGCGGCAGCATCAACATCATAAATCCATTTCCATCAGTTTATGTTTTTTTTTCGAATCCATACAAAAATACACATATCCACACACACATACACACTCAAAGAAGAAATATGCCATCAGCCTCAATTGATTTTGTCAGCCAGCCATCCAGCCATCCAGTCAATTGTGTCCTTGCAGCCATTTTCATATTTGATTATCAACCGTCGGTAGGCTGGACCATCGAACCACTCACTCACTCACATCGCTCCTTTGTATTATTCCACGGATGCCACGTTAACGTTGTTCACTATTCAATACGATACGATTCGAATCGATTCGCTGCGATTGCCTTTTGTTCCACCTTTCGTTTTCAGTAAGTTTGCCATTTTTTAAAACCAGAAGAGAGATTTTAAGTCCAACTTCGCTTGGGCCGTTAATGCCAACAATACCCAAATAGCTAGCCAGCCAAACAGCATCAAACCAACAACCGACCGACCGACCAAAACCCAACAAATATTCTGCTTTGTTTTTGTATTTATTATTATTTTTTTTAATTATTATTGTATTCTGTAGCAATTTTAAAAATTAAGATTGATTTTATGAATGGATTCGTGTGTAGCAAATAAGCCCAGAAAATTATTAATTATTTAAGGTTATTCCGTAATGAATTCGAAACTAATTTGAGTCAAATAAAAATGAGAAATTTTAACACAAGAAGCGGAGTTTTTTAAGGGGATACAAGAATAACGGTAAGTAACTTGGGAGGTGTGAAATTTCATCATAGAATGTATGTCCTTTAGCGGGGAAAAAGTCCTGCAGATAATGAAAGTAGAACTATAAACAGAAGACACGTTTATCGGCATTTGGAAAGTTTACATAGCAATGTAACCTTAATAGTGGTGGGGGAGGTATGACAAATACTTAAATATTTTATTTAAATTTTTCGATTAAGATTCATTGAAATCCGCATATATTAGGTATAAAGTGTCCTGGGCGATATTACTTATTACAACACAAGTATTATTTTGGTGGAATATGTTAACCTTAAAGCGATTCACGAAAGGAGTACTTTTGGTCCTTTTTATACCCTACAACACTTGGTGTGTTGGTGGTATTATAAGTTTGATTGGTCCAAAAATTATATAACACCTCGAAATATTGGTTTCCCACATAGGAAATTATATATGGATCTTCCTATCTCGCCGAGCTGAGTCGATCTAGCTATGTATGTCCGTCCGTCCGTCCGTCCGTCTGTCCAGTTAATTTGTAATCACTCTACAGGTCGCAATTATGGCCCAATCCTCATGAAATTGACAATGGAGATGGCGTTAAGATCAGAATAGAACCCTATTTCTTATGGGGATGATCGCATAATATTTAGAGGTCGAAATGGACCAAAAACTGAAAAAATCCTGATTTTGCAGTTGCTCTACAGGTCGCAATTATGGACCAATCGACGCGGAAATTAACAAGGGGCTAGAGCTTAAGGCTGGGCAGAAGCCTTCCATTTTTGATGGTCATCGGGTAGAATTTACTGGGTGAAATAGGCCATAACATTTGCCTTAAATAAAAGTCAAATTTTCCATTAAACCGCGAATATTTTTTATCCCGGCGGAATCAATCAATTATCGTCCGATCACGAAAATTTTCACGAGGGTAGGGTTAGGCTCGGAGAGGCTAGGCCTTTTGTTTTCAAAGATGTTCGCAATATATTTAGGGGTTGAAATGGATCCACAACTAAAAATATTCCTGAGGACACGAAATATTCCAAAGGACACGAAATCTCGCATGAAGTTAGAGTTTAGGACAGCGAGTAGAATGAACCACTACTTTTGTGTAAAAAATACCAACATTACTTACAGGCGATATCTGAAATACACAAAAGTAGAACTTCTGGCTTTTTTATGCTGATTTCGTTGACGGCTATAGCCAAATATCGTAGACAAGCAAATCATATAGATGAGTCTAAATTTGGAGATACAGAGCGGCCTCTTGCTTTTGGAGATGATCGCAAAATATTTAGGGGTTCATATGAACCAAGAACAGGGAAGAATCGTAGCATTTTGGATGACAATTGTATTATATTTAGCTGTAAAATGGACCAGGAAACTAACAGCACGACAGATTGCGTAAATACTGGGCAAATGACCCTGTTCAAAATGCTAAGGGTAAAATATAGGCAGTGCTCCTTAACATAATTTCAAAAGCGAAATTTTTCCAAAATAGATTTCGACACAGAGGGGCTTCTAACATGTTGTAGTGTTGTAGGGTATCATATGGTCGGCCCCGCCGACTATAGAATTTTCTTACTTGTTTCAAAATAAAAAATGGTAGTGAAATAAGTGACTGCCTGAGAAACAACACCCAGACGAAACGGCTGAAACTAAAATCCTGAAGTTTTTCACGAGGGTCTGTTTTGGTGCGTAGGTTTGTGATAAGACCTTTGTGATAGACCTGGTTTTTGGAAATTCAAACTTCAAGGGTACGAAAAGTACTAAAATGTACTAAAAACAAGCTAAAAAGCATTAGTCGGTTTTGCCGACAGATGTATACACTCAGCCAATGCTCGATTAATTAATATACAGGGTAAGATGAAAAAACTGCAAACAATTTCAGACACCTGTCAATTCTAAGCCACTCGTCCGACAGCTGTTAAAATTATTCCAGTGACAGCTCATTATATTATTTACAAGCGAACAAAAGCATTTTGGTGAGAATTTTCCAGAAAAAAGTTATTCGCGATGGAATAAAGCGTGATAGTGTGATTTCTTTATATTTGGATGGAAAAACACAAGTGGCTATCGTTAGAGTACTCCAGCATTTAAAAGTGAATAATTTTTTTGTATCTCGTGCCATCGCTCGTTACCGTGATACTGGTGATAGCACAACGTCAATTAAGTGGACGGTAAAAAAACAGCAACATCAGCAGAAATAGTTCGAAAAATAAGAAGCGAAACCCGATTCGAAGTAGCCGAAAAATGGCTCGTGAGCAGAACATATCGGTAAATATTGAAAAATGAGCAACCATTGAAAAATGAGCTCGGGGTAAATCCATTGAAATTCCAAAAAGTGCAAGAACTTACACCGCAACAGAAAGAACATAGAAATAGACTCAAAAGAGCTAAAGAGTTGCTTCGCTTGGCCGAATGTGGTGAACTGCCGAATTTGGCTTTCTCCGAAGAGAAAACATTCGTTGTCCAGCAGTTTGTAAACAAACAATATGATCGTGTTTACTTACCAAAGAGGTCAGCTGAAAATGTGTACCTTTGGTTGGACACCAGAACTCAAGCGCTGGCAATGGTGATGGTGTGTGCCGCTATAACAGCCGATGGTCGCTCTAAGCCCGTATTAGTTGTCCGTGGCATCAGAATAAATGCCGAATATTATCGCGAAGATATTCTGGAGGGTGTATTAAAGCCTTGGTCACGCAAACATTTTGGCCGCAAACCTTGGACATTCCAACAGGACTCAGCACCATCGCTAAGTACGCGCCACCCAAGAATGCTCTCAAAATGACGTTCCTCGCTTCATTTCCAGCGCACAATGGCCACCAAAATCTCCGGATACCAATCCGTTGGACTATTGTGTCTGGAGTATTTTGGAAAGCAAGGTTGGCACTAAAAATTACCAAAGTGTCGATCACCTCAAGCAAGCGCTTCGCTGGGAATGGGCCAAAATATCGCAGAGCAACATTCGGGCAGCGTGTGACGGTTTCATTGGCCGTCTGAAGGCCATAATTTGTGACAAAGGTGATCAATTCGAACAAATCTAAACTTATTCTAAAATTTGATGCTATTTCCGACACTTTTTGCTTTCATCCAATAAAATTAAAAAAAAAAACAGTAAAAATTATGGCCTTTGACTTTGTTGTACTTTTTTTTATCTCACCCTGTATTTTGACTTCTATTATGATTATCCAAATTGTTGACCCTCAATAAAGTAGGCTCCGAAGGAATGAGCCTATATTGTCCATTTCGTATCGGACCTAAGTAAATATGATATAAAAATTGCAACCTGCCAGGTTCGGACTATATTGGTTACTTTCTTCACTTTATGTGAGATATGTGATAATCTTTAGAAAATGTTTAAATGTGCGCGAGGTACAACATAAAATCTTCCGAAGTGTTCCATTTTCATACTTCAGCTAATACAGATACAAATATTGGTATGGGCAAAATTACATCAAACTCGAATATTTATATCCAATTTCATGCGAAATCATAAATTCCATATTAAACTCAGGTTTCTGGTTGAGAAATCTCAGGGTGAGAATCTCAGGTTTCTGGTTTGAGAAATCTCAGGTTGAGAATATCAGGTTTCTGGTATTGGAAATTGTGACCCTTTGTGAGTGAGGTACCAGAAAGGGTTGGCAGATACATATCATCTCCGCAACGGATCTTGTGTTAGCAAACACGTTTGTATGTGTGAAATTTGAAAAGGGAGTTGGATGCTCACTTCCTTTTCTTTAAACATTTTGTTTTCCAAAGTCTTAAACCCTATGTGGGGGAGGTACCAGAAGAAATCGTCCGATCTGTACCATATGCATAATAGATCTTGTGTTGATAAAAATTTGAGATGTACCAAGTCTGAATTGAATTTGATGTTAATTTCGTATTTTATGAGCTTCATGGATATTCAAAATTTCGACCCTTTGTAGGGGAGGTACCACAAGAAGTGGACTGATATATGCCATCTTCACATCCGAAAAATATAGTGATATGTGTAATTTGAATCCAATCGAACTCTTACATCCCATTTTATAAGAGTTACAATTACTCAAAATTTTGAACCTTTGTGGGGGAGGTACCAGAATGAGTGAACCGATATATCCCATCTTTACACCAGATCTTGTGTTAGTAGAAATACTGGGATGTGTGAAATATGAAGAGAACCGGGGTTTTATAATCGTTTTGGTTATTCAAAACTTTTACCCTTTGTGGGGAAAGAATCAGAAGAAATTGTCCGACCTCTACCATATATATAACAGATTTTGTGTTAATAGTAATATTGAGATCTGCCAAGTCTGAATAAAATCGAATGTTAATTTTGCGTTTTGTAGCATAGTGGATATTCAAAATTTTGGCCCTTTTTGGGGGAAGAAAAGGAGTGAACCGATATATTCCATCCTCACACTAGATCTTGGGCTTATAAAAATATTGTAATATGTGTCATTTGAAGGCAAATGGATACTTACATCCCATTTTATAAGAGTTGTAATTATTCAAAATGTTGACCCTTTGTGGAGGAGGTATTCTATGGAGTGGACCGATATTGCCCATTTTCGCACCTGACCTAGCATTGACTCAAATATTAGGATATGCAAAGTTGGAGCAAAATCGGATTATCGTTTCTCTTTCTGTGCAGAAAATATGTTTTATTTGAAAATTTCGACCTTTTGTGTGAAATATGAAGAGAACCGAATGCTTATTTCGGATTTTATAATCGTTTGGTTATACAAACCTTTGACCCTTTGTGGGGGAGGTACCAGAAGAAATGGTCCGATCTCTACAATTGTTATAACAGATCTTGTGGTGATAGAAATATTGAGATGTGCCAAGTATGAATGGAATCGGTTCTAAATTTCGGGTTTTTTGAGCTTCATGGATATTAAAAATTTTGACCCTTTGTGGGGAAGGTACCAGAAGGAGCGGGCCGATATATTGCATCCTCACACTAGATCTTGGGCTAATAAAAATATTGTAATGTGTGTC